CATGCATACCCTTGGTTGGGGATCACTCCTGAAGAAGAATAAAGAAGAAAATATCATTTCTATAGCGCCTCTCAACATAAAAATCACGAGGCGCTTCACAAAAACAAAAACTGTAAAAATATAAAAAACAATTTAGAAAATGGTTAAAAATATATTTTAAATGAGCAAAAACTATACAATTGTGATAAAAAATGTTAAGAAAGAGAGAGCGTGAATAGGAAAGAGGGAAATCAGTGGATCCTGAGGAAGATGGAATAGGTGGGGAGAGCAGAACAAAGAGAGAGTGGTGGAGAAGGTCATACAAAAGCCAGCTTGAACAAGTGAGTCTTCAGCTGCTTTTTAAAGGAGACCACTGAGTCCACTGATCTCAGGCTCAGGGGGAGAGAGTTCCAGAGTCTGGGGGCCACAGCAGCAAATGATCTGTCACCTTTGATCTTTAGCCTGGTGCTGCACAACCAGTAGGCTTTGATCACTGGACCTCAGGGACCTGCTGGGGGTGTAGGGACTAAGAAGATCACCAATGTAAGATGGTGCTTGTCCATGTAAGGCCCTATAGACCAGAACCAGGATCTTGAAATGAACCCTGAAGTTGACTGGCAGCCAGTGAAGCTGGAAGAGAAGTGGGGTGATGTGGGTGTATTTGGAGGACTTGGTCAGAAGCCGAGCACAGGCATTCTGAACCAGCTGTAGACGGTTCAGGGAGGTTCTGCTCAGACACGTGAAAAGAGAGTTACAGTAGTCTAAGCGTGAGGAGATGAAGGTGTGGATAACTGTCTCAAGTTCAGAGCGGGACAGAATGGGACTCAGCTTAGCAATGTTCCTGAGATGGAAGAAGGAAGAGCGAACAAGAGAACTGACATGAGAATTCAGGGTGAGAGCTGGGTCAAAGGTCACGCCAAGATTCCTGACAGAAGGTTTGGTGTGGGAAACAATCCTGTACACAATGCCAGCCTGATTGTGGCATTCCGTGTATGCTTTCCCTGCCAGCATCTTACACCCTGCAGATATGGGGTGGATTGTCTCAGGGGCATCTTTCCATATCCTACACCTCAGGTCTAGTCTGGTGTGGTAGATGTTGGCCTCTGTTGCTATGGTGTTCAGGTCCTGTTAATGTGCAGCCATGATGAGTTCCTCTGCGCTGACTTTCAGACCAGCTCTTTCTAGCCATTGGAAGGATTTCTTGATATCAGCCACTTCAGTTATCTGTCGGTGGTACATCCCATGTAGGGGTTTGTCCTCCCACGATGGTATTTCCAGCGTCTCCTCCTCTCTTCGTCTTTGTCTGAGACATTCACTGAGCACGTCATCTGCTGGAGCCTTATCTATGATGTACTTATGGATCTTGGATGTTTCATCCTGGACAGTGGTTCTCACACTCACTAGTTCTCGGCCTCCTTCCTTACTGCTAGTGTGCAGTCTCAGGGTGCTAGATTTGGGATGGAACCCTCTGTGCATGGCTAGGAGCTTCCATGTCTTAATATCTGCGGTCTGTATTTCTCCCTTTAGCCAGCTTATTATTCCTGCAGGATATCTGATTACTGACAGGGTGCAGCTGTTTGTTGCCCAGATCTTGTTCTTGTCATTCAGCTGACTTCTTAGGACTTGCCTTACTCATATGTGTGTGTGTTAAAGGACACTACCCAAATTATACATAATTTCAAGCTTTAATTACACCTATGGATGAGTTACAAAAAGATTCACCCCCCTCAGAGTTGTCATGACTGTAAATTAGATCTATTAAACCTAAATGTTTTTCGTACCAGGCTGTAAACATGTTTATTTCTGTTGTGAAGTTGGCATCTTTAACATTGGAGTCAGTGAGAACTTGTTCCTTTCTGAAGCCAGCTCCTTGCGGATGAGATTAATTAATTAATTAATTGGAATTTATCAGCAAGCGGGCGACTAAAGTGAAGAGAACGCGTTATTAAGACTTTTAGACCACATTTTAAATCTGCAGGAAGGTAGACTGGTGATTAGGCTGTTTATTATTATTATTATTATTATTATTGTTATTATTATGTTTGAAGAAGCAGAAAAACAGTTGAACACCCCCCCCCCCTCATAATATTACCTGAGTTTAGCAAAAATAAAAAAATAATTGATAATGACTCAAGACAATTGCACAGAACTAAATGCACATATTATTTATTTTGAACTAAAATGTGATATTCTATCAGCACATTTTGGTCTGCCATCTTGACTTGTTCGTCTTAAAAAGGAAGAGGCATTAGCACATGCCTCAGATTATCTTGTCATCTACGTATAAAAACATGGTTGCTTTTTACATCGTCCAAAGCCAGAAATGACCCCTGAACATTCGTCCCAGAAACCAACACCACAAAGAAGAGACATGTATGACTCACTTTTAACGGAAAAAACAAAATATCCTCAAACCAAAACAGCTCTAATTATGTAAATGACCATCATGTTGTCCATTTGTGTGTGTTTTACGTTTTTATTTGATACAATTACTCCTTAACTCTAATTACTCCTCTGCCTCTCTGAAATCAAATCATGGTTCACCTCTAATTTCCTCAAACTCAACGGCAATAAAACTGAACTTCTTCTAGTTGGCACTAAGTCCACCCTCTCAACATCTGACAGCTTTTCTTTAACTATTGACAGCGCCACAGTCTCCCCCTCACCTCACGTCAAGAGTCTGGGTGTCATTCTCGACAGCTCACTTTCTTTTCAGGCTCACATTAATAACTTAATTCGGTCAGCATACCTCCATCTACGTTCCATAAACCGTCTCCGCCCCTCACTGACCCCTCACACTGCCACCATTCTCGTCCACAGCCTCGTCACCTCCCGTATCGACTATTGCAATTCACTTCTTTATGGTCTCCCCAACAAACTCCTTCATAAACTGCAACTGGTCCAGAATTCAGCAGCCCGTATTATCACCAGAACCCCTTCCTTTCACCACATCACCCCGGTTCTCCAGCAGCTTCACTGGCTCCCAGTTAAATTCAGGTCCATCTTCAAAATTCTCCTTCATACCTTCAAAGCAATCCACAACCTCTCTCCTCCATATATCTCAGACCTTATAAGTATTCACACCCCGTCCCGTTCACTCAGATCTTCTTCTTCCATCCATCTTGCGGTTCCTTCTGCCCGTCTCGCTACCATGGGGAGCAGAGCTTTCAGCCGCTCTGCTCCTCGACTCTGGAACTCACTTCCCCCAGATATCAGGAACGTCGACAGTTTTACCCTTTTCAAAACAAAACTCAAAACACATATGTTTAAATCTGCCTACAACCTCTGATTTTATTTAACTGTTTCTCTCTTTGTTTTTTCTTCTTTGGGTTTTATTATTGTTTTATTGTATTTTATTACGTGTTTTGTGTAAAGTGACCTTGGGTGTCCTGAAAGGCGCTTTTAAATAAAATGTATTATTATTATTATTATTATTAACCTGACAATAGTTGTGAGGAAACGGTGTGGCCAAGTATGCACCACCTTTCAGATGGTTCAAACAGTAACGTTATCTGTGCTGGCAGTTCTTCTGACCCCTCTTATCATGAACCTGCACATTCATGACAGAGACTCAGACAGACCTCCTCTGCTTCACAACCAATGTAGGAATGTTATAGTAGGCAGAAACACACAACCCCCCTTATGAGATACAGGTTTCTGCTCCATGGTGTTTTAGTGTTTAGAAGGCTTTGGGCATCAAGATTCCCTTAATAATTATTCTAAATGATCATCTTTATCAACTTATCAGAGTGTAATGCAACAAAAAGGCATACTTGATAATAAGAGATTTATTTTTAAACTAGGAAGGGTTATGGCATAATAAAAAGCAGTTAGGGTGTTTTTAGACTAAAATGACAAATGATTGAATTTCTAGTTTGAGGACCAGCTGTTTAACTGCACATGAGCGGAAACTAAGATTCTGTTTCAACCAAACTTTTGACTTGATAGCAAACAGCGATGGTGTGGAGGGTGAGTGTTATGAGCTCGGACATGTGTTGTGAAGGAAATCAAAATAACTACATGTATTACAGCAGATTATGGGTGTCCTGTGGTTACCATCATCCCGTCCCTTTCAAAATAAAACAAACGTGCTCATTAAACTGAGCAAGACTGAGACCTCTGCCGCCACCTTGTGGAAGATGTCTGTAACGCACCATGATTGTATTTCATAAGTCAAGACGTCATTTTGACCAATCAACACTCTACAGAGGTTCCAGTTTAAAAGTCTTACATTTAGTTAAAATAAAGGTAAAAATGTGAAAACAAACTGAACAAGGTCTGCATAATTAGCTGACACATCTAAACTCCAAGAGGTCAATTTTCATTGTTCAAAGTGAATTCTCACTAATTATTTAAGTAGTGAATTCTCACTAATTATTTAAGTATGCTTTGATCATTTTGTCAGATAATTAGCAGTTTTATAATTTAATACATTTTTATTCAGCAAATATAACTTTCCACACTGCTTCCCCTTGTAAACAGGCTTTATGTAATGTGCTTAATAATACCAACATGCACAATGTGAGATAAATAAGATGAGTATATGTATATTTAAACATTGTCCATGTCATTTTCAAGACGGCATAAGAACTAGTTTGAAAGAATATATAGGTACATTAGATTTTTTTGTTATAAAAGTAATAATTTTATTTCTAAAGCTTGAAGAATAAAACATAATTTTGTGTATTATATGTCTTTGTTGTGTTATATTTTGCTTTAGACTTTTATATCATAATTTTGTTTTACCTATAATAAAGTCTTATTTCTTGTTGTAAAACCAGAAAAAAGCTGTGCACAAACTCCACCACAGCACGGGAATCCAATTTAGATGCATGTTTATTGTGACAGTTATACACTCATACATGACTGCAGAAATAAAAATCATAGGTTTGTTATTTCCACGTAAACTAAAGTTAAAACAACCAAACAAATTACAAAACCCCACCCAGTTCCAAAGCGGCGTCCTGATTGGCCCGTGCGTCTGTAAATCCGTTCCCTCTTTATTCGGCTCTTCCCATTGGTCCGCGGTGACGACAATCCTGAAACGTGCTCCCGCCCACCGAGCGGATCAAGTTTGAATGAACAACAGCAGCCTGCTCTGGAGGTGGTAGTTGCATTTGCAGTAATTATTAAAAGTGTGTATCCTTGTCACCAGCGCGGAGTATCAGGATGGACATGAAGAAAAGAATTCACCTAGAGCTGCGGAACCGCACTCCGTCAGATGTAAGTCGGCCTCACGTCTCTCTGTGTTGTTTCACTCTGCTGCTAATGGAGAATATTTCATATTGATGTCTTGGCGTGGGGATACAAAGTTTCCTCCAAGTTAAAAGATGAAGGAGACGTCGGGTCACATTGTTGCTTTGCGATCGTGTTTACAGTCACCAGGTGCTGCAGGTCCGCTGCTTCAACTTTTGATGTGCAGTTTGAGAATGCAGCAGCGCTTTTTAAAATAATGCCAGCGGTATAAACAAGGCAAGCGGTACGAGGAGCCATATTTGTAACTTTTCATCTACGAACGCGCCCCTTTTTTCGCCCAACACCCCATCTCGTTGTTATTTACCGAGCATTTATGGGTGTATCGGTGGGTTTTTACCGCTTAGAGCGTTCACCTCCACATTTAAAGCCGCGCACTTGGCGGGATAAGGATGCGGATAGTCAAAGTCGTGAATTTGTCAATCAACGATGCATAAAGATCCTCGCCTCGGATTATTACGTCCCGCTTCTTTCCTCACGCAAACTGTTGAAGTGGCGTATTTGTTTAGAAAGTGCATTTGAACGGTGAGCAGCTTACAGCGGTGAGCCTGCACGCCATGCAGCCTCCAAGTGGAGACACGGTGCGCACAGATGGCCGAAAAAAAAAGCGCTGAGACCGTCAGCAACATTAATGCTTGGCGTAAACACGCAAAAAACACAAACACAGCCGGGTCGGTTTGTACCGCCGGGCATTCGTTCATTCTGTTTCTGTTCATCGTTTTGAGTCGGGACTATCTGCCTTGGTGGGCCTGAGGAACTGAACCGTAATGAAAACAAACGGTCGAGCCGCGTTGTTGCTCCAGTTTTCAACAACTAGGACAAGCCGCCATTTTACCCAGAAACAAAGGCAGTTCGAAACACACCGCAGTCCCGTTCATTCGACATAAACGACGGAAGAATAGTCATACCTTCTTCTTATTAGAAGTCTACACTTGCCACCGGTCCGATCGGTAACAGTTTAAGCACAAGCAACAATGAAACGTTTGCCTGGCAGCTATCTAATCGGCTTTAGCGGCCCCTCCTACTCACGGATGACCCTGTGCACGACTCGTAGGGCTGCCTGGCTGGCTCCGATTTGTTTTGACCATTATGCATCTGCGCGGCTCTGAACCACCAACACGTCCCTTATTGTTCTACAACCAAATTTACTGCTAAATCAACAACTACAGTCGCCATTTTTTGTCTGCTTCTCCCTGAAAACAATCTAAAATTTATATTTACGTAATGGAAAAGGAAGAAATAACCAAGATATCGCGATATTTAGAGCGGTGAGATGTGTTCTGACCGTTGAAGGTTGTTGACAGGATCTCACCGCTGATTGGTTTAGCTACGTTCAAGGCCCGAGTGAAATATCCGGTAACAGCAGCACACCTGTGGTCACTTATCACTCCGTTTAAGCATCAGTAGGTCGGGTTCAACTCCGCGCTGGCCTGCGGTTCACGGCGAAATGTGGCCACACCCGGGCCAGTCTATCTATGTTTCAAGGACTATGGCGGTAGTTTATCACAAGTGACATAAAATTTGCCTTAGTGTTAAGTATTATTTTAATGTAGCGTCATGTGCAGTAGAAGAGGTAACTGTTTATTTTTTTTTCGTGTGTTAAAGGAGACAATAAATATTTTTTCATTAAATTATGCATTACACGTTAGTAAAACACATACTAATGATAACAGGAATATAAAAATAAACATGAGCTTGACATATTCAGTGAGTGTTCAAAACGTTATTTTTCTAGTTTAATCCAACTGCATTACTTGGTTCTTTTTTATTACAGCAAAGGTTGCTTTTTGTTTTGCTGACGTTTCGGCTAACACTGTAACTGTCACAGCGACAAAGCTCTCAGGAAGACTACAGTGTTAGCTAGCGAAACAAGGTCAAAACAACTTGCTGTTAAAAAAGAACCAAATAAGGCAGTCAAGTGCTATGCCATGTACTCGCTTTCTAGGAATGCGTGCTGTCATTTTTATTTAAAAACTTTTTATTAGATAAATGCAACTCACAATTCTTTAAGATAGGTCAAACTCCAGCATTCATCATGTATTCATTTGTAGAAAGATAAAATGCTTTCTCATGAGTGTCCTGTACTGAACGGGTGTAATGTTTTATTCTACAGGCCAAAGAACTTGTGCTAGACAACTGTCGCTCAAACGAAGGCAAGATCGAGGGCCTGACAGATGAATTCGAGGAGCTGGAGTTTCTAAGCACAATCAACGTTGGCCTGACGACAGTTGCCCACTTGCCAAAGCTAAAGAAACTCAAAAAGGTGGGGTTTCTTTTGCTGCACAGAACAAGTATGCAATTCAGTGCTTTAATGTTGTTGCATGTTTTTAATTGTTTACCCCTCTCAACAGCTTGAACTCAGCGATAACAGGATCTCGGGAGGGTTGGAAGTTCTGGCAGAAAAGTGTCCAAACCTCACACATCTCAACCTCAGTGGCAACAAAATTAAAGACCTCAGCACAATAGAACCATTGGTGAGTGATGTGGCCTGATCGGATCGTGTGTACCACCTAAGATCCTCGCTTATGACAGAATGATGGTTCTGGGGGCCGGCGTCCAGCACGTTTTAGTGGTTTCTCTACTCCAACACACTTGATTCAGTGGTTGAATCACCTGATCAGCAGCTCATCAGGCTCTGCAGAAGCCTGTTAATCACCTGCTGATTGACATCAGGTGTGTTGAAGCAGCGTTAAAACTACAACGTGCAGGCTACCGGCCCTCCAGTGCTGGAATGGAAAAACCCTGCTTTATAGGCAAAAACGTTTGTGTTTCACCAAACTTCCCCTAAGACGGGTCTGGACTCGGCGTACAAATGTGTAAACTAGATTTATAATAAACAAAAGGCTTAATTTTGGACAGAGATTGTGGAAAAAGTGCAACAGAAATTTGAGAACGTACTTAAGGGAATAAACTAGCCTAGCAAGCTGTCTTGTATGTGTGTGTACATGTTGATAATTGCTGGTAGGGCTGAAACGATTCTTCGAGTACCTCGAATAATTTGAGTACAAAAAGGCCTCGAGTCAAATTTCTTGCCTCGAGGCTTCGTTTAATTCATGTTGAATTAATTCATGTTGAATTAATTCATGGCTTTGAAATCGCCCAGGGTCATGTTTTACCCGGACCGAAATAAATGACGCACATACACACTGCACTGAATGCACACGTGAGTAGCGAATGTAAGGGTGTTTCTCAATGTCAAGGCGCCTGGCCTTGCGAGCCAATGTCTTGCGAGGCCAGGCACCTTGCTTACAAGGACACTGTCCTTCCTTGGTCAAAGAAAACGGTTAAATGGAACAGAATTACATCACGTGACTGCGGCTTCCACGGCGGTGACACAGGAGATAACATTATATTTTATATGTATTAGTTTCAATATAAATATATAACGAGTCTTTTACTTTTTAAATTGTGTATATGTTTATTAAATTACAAATATAAGTGAGTTACTACCCGCTAGCCACCGAAGCTGCAACTACTAAGCAACTAACCAACAATAGATAACTTCTTTGGATCTAAAAGAAACATTTTAAATTAGCTGACTTACTTTTAAACTTGAAAATTGTACTGAAGTAGCTGCCGGCTTCTGATCCACTGTCCTTTTGAAAATACCGCAACGTATTGTGGGTAATTTTTGGCCAAGGCTAGGCTACAAGACTCCTCCCGTGTGTCCTTGCTCAACTAGCTAAACGACTAACAAACGGAGAACACACGCCTCGGTAGAACATGAACATTGGAACATGTCTTGGCGGCTCCCGATGACGTATCTCCTAGGCAACCGGGGCGGGGCCAAGACATCAAGGCAAGGTTCCTTGACATTGAGATACACCCTAACTTAACTTTCTCTTAAGCCATGGCGGACAACGTAGACCCCGGCAGAGTGCGAAAAAGACAGAAAATGTCAAATGTGTGGGTCCATTTTTCACGTCGTAAGGCAGAAAACGTAGTCCGGTGTAAATACTGTAAAACGGATTTAGCCTACCACAACACCACGTCGTTGATGCTGCAGCACCTGACCAGGAAACATCCACATGTAAATGTCACTTCTGCAAGCGGACTCGGAGCTCCGCTATATATTCTGCGGACACCGTGCGACTTTTTCGTTTGTAGCACTCAGTTTCAGCTCACACTGTGTGTCTGGTAGCAACACGTCGGACCTAAAAATGTGCTAAAAATAGCAGCGGCGACAAACAGGCATCCTCCTAGTTTTTGTCTGCTTGCCAGGTTAGTAGATTCTCGCACAAGGGGAAAATCGGCTCAGGTTGTTTACTTATTTTTTGCACAGGCATTTGTTTACTGTGAAGTAAAGTTGAAGTGCTGAAGTTTTGAAAACTAATTTTGAATAAAACTTGAAGAATAACTGGCAGTTGCTTGCTCATTTTAAGAAGTATTTCATATTTTATAAAATTGTTATTTGATATAATGGTTTACAAATACAAAATGGTAATTCATTAGAGTACTCAAGTAATCGATTAAAGATTCAATAGAGTACTCGATTACAGAAATATTCGATAGCTGCAGCCCTAATTGCTGGTGTTAATTAAATAAATCAGATCAATAGCTTCCTAATGTGTCACATTCACACTGTCCCATTCTGATATGGTTGTGAAGACAGCAGCTGGTGGAGTTATTAATCAACATCTTTCTGTCCCACCCTTTGGCAGAAAGAACTGGCGGCCCTGAAAAGCCTAGATCTGTTTAACTGTGAAGTGACAAACCTGAACGAGTACAGAGACAACGTCTTCAAGCTCCTACCACAGCTCACGTACTTGGACGGGTACGACAAAGACGACAAAGAGGCTCCAGATTCTGATGGAGAGGTTTACGCCGAGGGCTTGGATGATGAAGACGAAGATGAAGATGGTAAGTGTGAGGTCACCCGCCGACCGTCGCCTTTAACACACTGGCTGGTGGTTGATCACCCTCTGTATTTACTCAGATGTGGACGAGGAGGAGTATGACGAAGATGCTCCACCTGGAGATGAGGAGGAAGACGAGGGAGAGGAAGACGAAGAGGAGAATGAGGAAGAGGAGGATGATGATCTGAGTGGAGAGGTGGGTGACATGAAAAGAGGTTTGTTGTCTTTGTGAATAGCATGAGCTAACCAGGCTGGTTTTGTTTATGTTTGAACGAAAGGAGGAGGAAGAGGAAGACTTGAATGATAAAGACGTTGATGATGAAGAAGATGAAGGTGAGAACAGTTTGGAAAATCTTTATTCCAGGTAACAACAGCAAACGTTTATTTACACCAATCGTATATTTTGCAGAAGAAGAGCGAGGTCAGAAGAGAAAACGGGAACTGGATGAAGAGGGAGAGGAGGATGAAGATGATTGAGAACCTTATGTAAGCTGTGTTGTGACCTGTTTTAAACGTGTATCTCCCACTCACTTCCCCACATATCTTTTTCCCTCCCGACTTCATGTTGCAGTAGGAGTGATCTTTTGTTATTGGCCAGTCAAACTCAAGGGGTTAATATATAATCCTGTGTTTTTTTTTATGCTCCTATCTTCCACCTTCTACCTGCGTGGTGGACACCTGTTTGTAATATCAAATAATAGCAGGAGAATAGTTTTTGTTTGATTTGTCACTCTTTGTGTAAACCGGTTTCAGATGATTTATGTATTTTAAGACCTCCCCTCTTCAAAAAACAAAATCTAACAGAAAAAAGCGTGCATGTCTTACATTTTAAAGTCAACTACTGGATTTCATGTACGGCTGTCCTCCCTTTGTCTTAAATTAATTGTTTTTCGTTTTTATTTAGTGTAAGTTATGTATTTGTAGCGTCAACATTATTACAGTACTCTGCTGTCCTGGTGTGAAGCTCTTGTCTGAACGTGCACAGTGTGACCCTTCGTAGGGCTTTCTCTTTTTTTTTTTGTCCTTTTTGGATTTATGGCAAAAACATGTCTGCCTTTGTCAAAGCCGCAGCCCCTCCTTAAACCCTCAGCTTTGATAGTTCGGAAATTACGTGTTCTTGTAAATAATGACCAAATCTATTTTTTTGTATTCTCTTTGATGACGGCAGACATTGAAACAGACGACTGAGGTCAAACTGAATTGTAATAAGATATTAAATATGTATGCTGCTTTATCTAAAACAACGCAGTGTGAAATTTCTTGAATTTGAACTTTGTATGCATTAACTTTCCATGAAGAGAAAACGTTGACCATCGGAACACTTTATTGTTTTTCTCACGTTGTTTTCAGGAGGTGGTGATGTTTGAACCGGTGGTGGTGAAACGGGGTACCTTACAACAGAAACTTCAGCTCAGTGAAAATGTTTCAAAGTGTAAACTCTGGAGATCAGTCTGTTATTTGGCCTTTGTTTTCTTCAACATAAGCGATGGTCAAATTGGCCTGTACCTCAGTGATTTTTCACTTTGGTAAATCTACTGTCATCAACCAAACTTTTTCTTTTTTTCTCCCATTCACTTCAATAAATCCCTTTTTTAAATACATTTTATTGAAGTTTGTGGTTTTTGTGCTTGACCAAACAAAGAGGTGAAATTCTAAAAGTTAGAATATCGTGGAAAAGTCCCATTTGTCTCACTAATTCCTTTTAGACTGAGAGACCATCTAAAGGCTCAGGAACATTTTGCAGGTGTTTTGGATTCATCAGCTGATTAGCGTAATGCTTTCGGTCTAGAATATTGACTTTTTCACTATATTCTAATTGAGATTTAGAATTTTGAGTTTACATAAGCTGTAACCGCTTCTTGACACCGCACGTGAAAATGTCGCGAAACGCACTGCGTGGCAATTAGTCACGGTTATAGTGGGTGAGTTCTTTTCCACTGGCAGCAAAGTGTAACGTTTTGGACGCGGTCCAGGAGCGAGGGCACGCTATCGTTACGTTTCGAGCATATTTTACGTGCTACGCTACCAAAACATGTCAAACTGCGTTTAAATCGTGCCAGACAGGAAGTCAAACACAAAAGTAGAGTAAAGCATCGGGGAAACTTTCAAAATAAAAGTCAGATGCAGGTAAACATACTTTGTTTCCTGTACTCATGCAACCGATTAGCCTGGCAAGCCAGACTAAATAAATGTATTATTTAGTCTGGCCATGCTCCATTGACGGCTCTCGGTTGTGGGGCGGGATCTACCGTTGTCTTTCAAATGATCTCCGCATTCCACTGGACAATGAATGTGACATACTCTTGTTTCACTCTGTTGCATCATCCCACCCACCAGGCATATAGAATGCCCTGATTGGCCCACTAAGTGGATAAAGCTCTGTGATTTGTTCACTAAGCAGATAGAGCACTATGATTGGCCCACCATTATGGACCAATCACAGCTCTTTATGTGTTTGAAACCCCTCTAGAGAGCTGTGATTGGCTAGACAGAGTCCTGGTAGGAGTTGCTGAGGTTCCAATGGAGCATGCCTAGACCATTCTTTGCAAAGCAAGAATTTGGCCTAGTTCACTAGGCTAGCAACCGATGTAACAAACAAAAAATTTGCTTTCGTTTTGTGTCAGAATTGTTACTGGTTGGGAATGAGCTTGCAGGTAAAACACCGCTATTAAGTTTTGCCATGCATTTGAGGCCAGTGGAAAGGAGAGATAAGCCATAATCATCAAAATTATAACAAAGACTTGAAATATCTGGCTTTGCAAGGAATGAGTCTATCTTATTAGTTTCACCTTTTAAGTTGAATTGGTGAAGTAAATGAACTTTTGCACCATATTCTAATTTTAGGAGTTTTACTCATGCAAACTCAGGATGCTTTCTGCAACTATTCTTTCAGGTATTCCAAGAAATATTAAAGTTCAAAGCCACAACGCCATTCAGCAGCTGTTCAAAAGCAGTTTGAATAATTTTAATGGCATTTCTTTCAAATTATCTCACATTTCCATTTGTTCTTCCAACATGACAGGTTCTTCCGCTGCAACTTCCTGTTTCTCACTGAAACACATCAGTCGGGGAAACCCTTTTTCCTGCTGCCTACTTTTTCTTTAGCCTTTATTTAACTTCCTGAAAAAAATACACATTTACTTTGATCATTTATCTGCATTAAAATCACATGCTTGTTTTTCCCGATTTTCTCTTAAGCGTGACATCAAGGAGACATTTTGGTCATTCTGAAGTGTGTTTCTGTGTAAAGGTTATAAATCATGCCTGTTGTAGACAGCTTCCTGTAAAACAGCTCAAATCCCTAATACTTCCTAGCAGTTCATTCAAACATTGTATTAACCCTCATGTAGTCAGTTTAACATTAAATGTTAATCTGGGTAGAAATATGAGGAACTTCTGTTTGCTTTCACTTGTAGATGCGCTGGAGATGTGGCTTTTGCTGCTAGCAACATTTACAGTTGTAAATTGTGTAAAAGGTTATTTTAGGGACCAGCTGAGTGGTTTTATAATGGCTGCACCCAGACTAGCCATTAGCTTATCAGTCTAGTCATACAAACAATATGTCTCCAAACTGAGGCTGTTCAGGAAGCCATGTACAATCATAACTTTTATTATTTTTACACAGAAACGCTCTTTAATTCTCCTTTTATGTAAAAAGGAAAACTTGTGATCTTCAGTCTTTACAGTTTTACTTACAAATTATCTTCTTGCAAGGCCTTTAGTGGATTCTTTTCTCCAGCCTTGGATTGCAGGGAGCCAAATAAAAGATCAGGAAAGAATGCATGTAATTAGGCCTGCATTGAAAACCCAGCTGTTAATATGGTGCTAATTAAGCCCTCTACACTTAAATGTAAAAAAAGAATCATTTAAACCATAATTTATCAAAAGGTACATGTGAAGTAGAGGCAAATAACCAGAAACCTTTCATACAAAACCACTAATCAGAGGTTATCCACATTTCAGTATTGCAAAATACTTAAAACAACAATTATTATTACAGTTTGTAATGCTAGAAATAGGCAATAATAACAACTTCATAACTTAATTGAAGTTTTGATGTTTGAATCCAGGAAACATTACCATTTACTGTGCTGTTCCACACAAATTTTACATCATCTACTGAGCAACACAATCATTACTCAAGCAGCCATGTCTTACCAAAACAACAGGATTTAGAAATATGCAAGTTATTAGTTAAAAATGTAAAGTGTCAAAATAAATAGAAGCAAAATGTACATGACCTCGAATTCTCTAAATCAGCCCTAAAAATGGCAACAATGCCTCCCTTCAGATCAGATTTGGATAACACAAGTCCACCATCTGTGAGCTGATGCTACTTTCACGTTTTTTAAGTACAGGATAATAAAAACAAGCTAACTATCCGCGCTTCTTGGTAAAAGACTGCATTTGGAGGGTTTTGCGTTAATGTTGCAGAGTCAGTTCACGGCCAACATTTGTGGGTGGGGAAAAAGAAAATAACAAGATCCACATCTGCAAAGGTGTCCTCAGCTGTCCGGTGCAGAACCACGCCCCGCCTGCCTCTCTGAGGTGATGGTGCAGCACGCTCTAAGGCTTTGGAGGGAAATAGTTAGGAGCCAGTCTTTTTATGTTCCAGCTTTGCTTTTAGCATGACATAATAATCCAGAGGTGATGTGGTTGGTACTAAAGCACATGTCTGGGGTGTTTTTGCATTGTCATCAAGGCATTGCCACGTGTGAACAGGGCAGCTTAGTGACACACATGCTCAGGTTTGTGGTCATGACACCAGACACACCCAACGGTATAATAAACAGGAAATGTCATCAATCAAACGTTAAACAGGAAATGCCTGATCTGCCTTTTCTTCAGTACTTGTTATTAATACTACTACAATACACTAGCGGCTGCACTAGGTTCCAACAGGTTAACGTAGTGTAGCGCAGCCAGAACGTTGTTAGGATTGTGGTATATTTTTTATAAAAAGCTAGGTGTTTGAGACTCAAAAGCTGGTTGGAGGTCAGAATCGGGAGTAAACGAAAGCAGCATTGCCAGTTCAGGAGGCTCAGAGGTCAAACGTTGTTGGGACTAACATTCTTCAGGTTGTTGAGTTCCAGCTCCAGCTGGCGTATTCGCACATCCTTCGTCGTCAGCTCCTCTTTCAGCCGCCGCAGCTCATCTTGCTGCCGGAAGAACATCCGCAGAAGCTGGAGGAAAGAAGACATGAACAGCTAGCGAGAAGATGCACGATGGGACATTATTTATTGTTAAAGAAATAACAAAGTTGGTACTGGAAGTTGCAACGCAGATTAGAGTGGATGAAGCTGGTGGATACCTCATTCTCTGTCCTGGGTGGAACGTTCTCCAGCAGGTCGATCCCATTCACCACAGCACTCTTCTTTTCCTTCACTGGAGCCTTGAACACCAGCTGGTTTGGCCGATGATAACCCTCCTTCAAGGACATTAGAACCGGGTCTGTTTTAAACATAAAGACAGCTCAGATAAGCCCAACTGTCTGAGTAGCATCAGGTCTTTTGCTTATTTTTTAATCTAGTGAGCACAAGTAATTCCTTAGCAAATTTTTATCAAAAGTGTTTTTCTTAGGCCCTTCTCATGAGATAAACAGATGTTTGTGCAACAAATCAGCTCTGACATATCCAGCCTATCTTGGAGTGATCTGGTTTAACCAACCCTGACATTAGAGAGAATGTTCATCAGAACTAGATAGCTGGATATCAGAAATCGACCCACATTTCCCAGATCAGGATGTGTTCGTGTAAAAGGAGTGGAGCTGCTTCAGAGGAGCAATCACTCAGAAAGCAGGACAGCAAAACAAAAACACGACTAAACCTGTGTAGGAATACATCACTAATATCACTGCTGCATTACTGAAGAATACCACAATGCAAACATGGCTCTTATTAAAACTTAATAAGTAGTTTATTGGCTCATTTGGGATTATCTTTAAATGTTAATTGGTAAAGAAACTGGTTACTATTGTCCTCTTTTACTGTATTGTAACTGGTTTAAAAAGTGCTTTCAGTTTAATTAATAAATGCATCATTTTACTATCATGTGTCACTAATAAGGGTAGTGTTATCGGTGAGTGGCAGCAGCATAACGTAGGTAAAACAAGTGAATATTTATTTTGGGTTTATCTAACATTAATTTGCTGTTAGCTGCTGCCTGCTCTTAAGCAAATTATTTTTTCTGTCAGCATGCTGGAAACTTTAAATATTGTTTGTATTACACACAAACATAAATAAATAGATAAAGATTAAACCAATAGAGCTGGGTATTGACTCAAATTTTAAGAATCAATTGGATTCTGATTCTCAAGGGTTGGAGTAGATATTGATATGGTTCAGCGCTATTAAAGTTTTTACTTTAATTATATGCAACAGCTACTGTTCACCATTGAAAACTGTATTAACCCTTTCAGACCTGAACCAATGGCCATCTGGACTTTTCCTTCCAATTTTAGCTGTAAAAAAAGGCAAATTATGTTAATTAAATCTATTTTTGTTTTTTAATAAGAAATGACTCAGATTAGATTTTTTGGTTTTGTCAACACAGCAAACCAGTAAAATGTATTTTACCGACAATGTGACTTTAAACATTTACAAGAACACACACTGCAATAGAATTTGATGTTATCGTGTCTGAGATCATCTGACTGCATCTAGCCTAGAAATCTAGACAAACAGTTGATCAGCAAAGAGGTTATGTTCTGCATTTTTAGGATGTCTTTCCAGGTCAGACACTAAACTTTAGTTTTTTCAGCTCCTGGTTTTGATTTCACAAGTGTTTTAGCAGAGATATTCCTCATGAGGATACTTCTTATTATGCTGCTTATTTTGTTATTAATAAAGTCGAACATAAACTTTGAGACAGACACAGTAAAAAGGAAGAGACTATCAACTTATAGAATGGTATTTTTTATATTTATATTTTAAATGACATTAATGCATCTGTGTAGATTTCTCATACGAGAGCCCCACCTGCTGCACAGGTTTTGTTTCCTGCATAGGTCACCATGCTTTCAATCAAACAGGAATTCAAACCAGCGCAGCGCATCGTTTACCTCTGTTGATCCCGCTCAGCCACTCGCTGGCTGACAGGGCGGGTTCAGTTCCAGACGTCATCGGGTAAATGTCCTCCTGGTACGTATCTGACTGTTCACACACAATTAAGGATGGCTTCATTAGATTCACTCATGTTTAACTTACAGGTTAAAATAAAGTTCATCTGATAATGTGGATGAAGATTTTTTTAATGTACTTTATGTATTTTTTATAAACTTACTCTCTGAGGGTTTATTTATAATGCAGTCCCTTTCACAAACGGCAGCAAACAAGTATACTAAAGTCTACTTACTAAAGTACAACAACTCTAAATCCGGAAGACTTGGGTGATGAAACAGGAGAAATAGTTCCACTCACCCGCCGAGGCACAATCATGGAGATGGGCTCAATCAAACCCTTCAGAGTGACCAGTTTGTAGAAGCGGAAGACCTCACATGCCGCCACATCCAGCCCATGCTTTGGCATCACACCTGAACACGAGAGAAGAAGAGCTATTAGAAGATCAACAACAAAATACTAACAGTAAAAACTACAATAATATTACATAGAAGTTTTGCTCATCACCACTGTTGATATTTTTGCCTTTCGTATTCTCCTCTTTGACTTTCTCAGCCAAGCAGTACCAGTCTGAGAGCAGCCCTGAGACTGAGCTGATTTCACAGTGCTTCATTCTCTCCTTCCTTCTCTAATCTAATGAAGTTGATTTCTCTATCTGCTTTGGCAGGAGCAACCCTACAAATAACTGATCAACATGAACGTACCTAGTCCTTTTTGTGGGGCCGGCGACCTGAACTCCATCAGATACTGGATGTATGGCTTCTCGGTGGTGATTTCAAAGTAACGGATGTTTCCATCCCCCTGCAAAAGTAGCAACAGCATCAGAATCCAGCTGTTACATTGGGAATGTGGCCTGCTATATCCAGTTATTGGAGATGCTTTGTGGAGGACTTCTGTCCTTTATTTTACTGACTTCCTTGTTGGCAGTGAAAACCTATGCATGTTTGTTCTGCAGAACAGCCCAAAGCTCTGCTAGAATGTTTTATTTCTGTACTCACATTTTAATTTTTGACAAAATGTACGCAAGGTTACTGGGAAATTTAACAAACAAATACACCAAATAAAAGGTCACTCAACAAAGTAGACTTTAGGTAATTTAACTACGCATAAATTTGTCATGTAATTGGAATACACAAAATCTACTTTTAAAGGTGTGGTTCACTGAAATCTAATTTTTTTATGATCATTTCCAATTATAATCAGTCACTTTGAGTTTATTATTAAAATAGTCTCCTACACCTATCTCCTGCATTAGCTTCTGATAGAAAATAGACAGTTAAACTCTAGGATTTGAAGAACCTGACAGATCTACATCACACTGTCTGTCACTTAACATTTATGGACTCACCCATCTTGACTTGTGACGAGGAGGGCTGTTTTTGGTTTGGAGTCCAGGAAACAGCAGAGAACATTCTGACTAGTAGAAGCTAACTGTTAGAATTATCAACTCCACCACACGGCAGAACTCCTCCAGGCTTGTTTTATTTGTAGAGATAAAACATCAGAGTAAACAGAGTCAGTGGTAGAGTCACGTTGCTGTTGTTGAATCAGAGATGAGATGTTCAAATATCAGAAAATGAGACATCTCAAGCTCAGCTGTGATGTGACTCACTTCTAGTTCCTGGAAATGGTGCACCGGTATATTTTTTCCCCCAAGAATAAGGATGTCATTCCTACTAGAGACCACAGCAGATGTATTGAATAAACAAGTGTTCCACACCTAAAAGGTAACCTGTTTATGTTTATTTGAGTTGCATTTAACTATTTTAACAAATGACAGAAGTGATTTTTTACATAAAAAGTTAATTCAGTGATTATAGGGCTAAGATTCTTATTTTTTGGGTACAAGACAGTTTCTTTCTTTTTCCTTCTCCTGCTCAAATGAAGCACACATGAGACGCCAGAGATTTGCTGCACATTTTTTAATAGTCCTAAAATGGGACTTTATTAAGTGGGGTTTACCTTTCGTGTGTTCATTTTGTGCGTTTCTTCTAACTGCATACATTGCTTCTTTTTTAACACAGCAAAAGAGTTGTTTTACCTTTTTTTGCTTTATTTTGTCCTCTGCTGCCTGTGGATACATGGAAAAGGAAGTGACGCCGCCAACAGTGGCGAACTCTGAGGGAGACCGCAGTAGTGGTTGAAATGTCAGCTAAAAAAGGTAAAACAACTCTTTCAAAAAGAACTAAAAAAAGAACCAAGTAATGCAGTGAAGTGGGGATTAGTCTATATTTACTTTTTTTGATGAATAACAGTTGTAATATTATAATTTATTATTAAATCTTCTATAAAAGATTTTAGATGGTGTTTACTAGGGCCAAGGATCTTTTTTTTTAGTGCAAAGTTCTTGTGAAAGAACAAAAATTCACTGCCCAACAAACGTCCCCACCAAAAGGGTCACACACTTTAGCCTTTAGCGTAGACTAGGGCTTCCACTTGCTGTGGAATGGTTTTCATGGCTTCTAAAAACCCACAAAGTTTACGTCCATCAAGAGTTGCGTTCATTTGTCACCAAGGTCTTGTAGTGAGGATGGGAGAGTCAGACTGCTGCACAAAGCCTTCTCCAGCACATCCTAAAGATTATCAACAGAGTTTAGGATGGGCCCTCCCATGCTCCCTGAGCCAGACCTCAACAAATACAGTCATATTAGAATGTGCCCGGGCCATCAGGGACAAAAACAATTCACTGGTGGAAAAACTTGGTCATTCACTATATTCAGATGGTCTGCGGACCTCATTATTTGGGTACATTATGCATCACATGAGGTATCCATGATTCTGACCTTGCCTGCCAGGTACAGCATGTGTGTGTCAGCATCATAGAAAGGAAACAACAGTCCTGATAGTCCATCTATGTCCTCCTCCACAATAGGCATGGACAAGTCCTCCTGGGAAAAGCCACACAAACAGAGTATTAAACACCCACTGGCTCCACCCACTGCGGCGTTAGCCGAGCTTCAGCCATATAGACGTGTTGTCTGACCTGATCCCACAGAGCAATCTGCCGGGTGTTCCAGCGAGAAACCCCTGTGGTGAGCAACCGCTTCATGTTACCCAGGAAGACAACTCGGTTCACGCGGTGGTTCTTGTAACTGGCTTGCTGGTGGAGCAGCACACAACAATCGGGTGAGGCTGAGTCAGAGATACAGATACTAGAAAAAACCAAATGCACCTTAATGTTGACAGAATTTACACACATAATAATTTCATTGGATTTTCTTCTCCTTTTGCGTTGATTTGATAATCTCCACTCAGTACAGCAGCAGGAAACACGTGAGTCTCAGAAAACCACCCTTTTGATGCTATTTTCTAGGTTTTATTTGATAACTAAATAAATGATTGGACTCACATGAGCTGGATAGATGGGATGAAGAGCAGCAAGGGAGGAGCTGAGTTTATATATTATACCATAAATGGACTTTTTATGCCAAGAGTAGTCAATGTGACCACATCAGTGTCTATAATAGTTTATAATTGATCTCATTTGCATATTTCTTTGAGTGAAAAAGAGGATATCTCAAACCCAGATCCAGTCAAGTACAAGCTCAGAGTGATGGCAGTATCACCTGTAGGACTCTCCCAGAGCGTGGCTCGATGACTCTCAGCATCTTGTCTTTGCAGCTGGTGGCCAGCAGGCTGCCGTCTGTGTTAAAGGACATGCTGAGGATGACGTCGGTGTGGCAGTCAATCATTTTCACTGGCTCTCCGATCTCCAGGTTCCAGATCAGGATCTGAGGCACCGAAAAAGTTGTTATTTTAAGAGGAACTGGTAAACGGCAGCACGGTGCATGTGTAATGATGTGGAAGAACTGACTCGTTATTCCAGGACACCTGTTGATACAACAAAGCTTGGTGGTACCTTATAATCATAGCCAGCACTGAAGAGGATGCCACTGCTGGTTGGGTGCCACTCAACCAGACCCACCCGTCGGCTGTGGCCGTACAACTCCAGCACTGCCTCCATCATGTTGCGCCGCAAGCCACCGTCTGGGATCTCCCATATTCTAACCTGAGACGTTCGCATACACACAGGATTTAATTGAAAACACAAACACACTCTCAGTCTTTTCAGTGCTTCCATGTTATCATGGTTCTTTTAAAGCCTGTTACTATAAAGTCCGACCAAAATAAAATCAGACTGACATAGCTAGAGATTAATTTGATCAAAAATAGGACAAGATATCAATGTAGACAAATGCAAGAGGATTAGACTAGATTACTGCAAGGCTCTGTGTTGGACCAGATTAGATTATCCTTCAAACAGTGAAAGCACTACACATAAATACTATCACTCTACTGAGCTTAGTACAATTACAGGTATGATTTTTATAGGAGTTTAAATGTATTGTCATCACAAAATATCCATATTATTGTTTCCATAACTTGATAAAGGCAATAAAAAAGGTTCTGGCTCACTGACCGAGGTGTCCTCCGAGCAGGATGCTACGATGTTTTCAAAGAAGGGATTCCACTTGATGTCCAGCACATTTCCTTGGTGACCACACACCTTTGGGTGGTGAGAGTCCAGACGGCCTGACTGAAAAAGAGTCCCAGAAACATCAGAGTTGACATTCTCTTTAAAACAAAAACAGCATGCAGGTAAAATACATTTAAAAAAAAAATGTGTATCAGCACCAAATTGGATGCAACCCAATAAAAATAACAAATGGAAGTAAACAGAGGTGACCCTTTTATTGACTAGAACATAGGAGACCTTATCAAAAGGGAAAGGGCGAAGTGAGATGACTCGGTAAAACCTGGGCAGAAAGCTGACCCAGATGTTTTTGTGCAGGCACTTGTGAGGCACATTCTTATTTCTGCAATGACCCAGTGAGCCCACATAGGGGCACTGGTTCATAGCACTGAGTACTACACCCTACCATGTGTCAGTCATGTTATGTCACTTCAGTCCACTGACCTCTTTCCACAGAGATTTGTGGAGCAGCATGGGAGTTTTACCATGTGTACTCTACACTCATTGAACCCTGGAAATCAACTCTCTCTCTCTCTCTCTCTCTCTCTCTCTCTCTCTCTCTCTCTCTCTCTCTCTCTCTCTCTCTCTCTCTCTCTCTCTCTCTGCCCTAACTCCATCATTAATAATGCAAGGTGTATTAAAAACAAGTATTTGTTTAGTTTTCACCCCTACTAATGAGACTAAATGTCATATAACATTTTATTTTCCATGAAATAGAAAGTATTTGAAGGTCACCTTTACTCATATTTTTGACACATTTGCAGTGGTCTCTAGTAGGAATGAAGACCTTAAGTCGTTATCTGAGGATTAAAAGCTTCGGTACGCCCGTTTGAGGAGGGAGAAATAAGCTGGAGGAGAAAGTAGCTTCAGATGACAGGATTTGGAGTCTTACTTCCTGATATTTGGACATCTCACTTGTAAGTCGCTTTGGACAAAAGCGTCTGCTAAATACATAAACATAAACATCTCTCCTCTGATTGGCTAACAGCAGCACAACTCACTGATTCTGCTTTGCAACATTGATGTTTCATCTCCACAAATAACAAGCCTGAAGGAGTTCTGCTGTGTGGTGGAGTTGCTAATGCTAACAGTTAGCTTCTTCTACCCGAGACGTTCTCTGCTGTTTCCCGGATGCTAAGCCATCAACAGCCTTCGCTTTTGTGAGCCAAGATGAGTGAGTTCAAGACACCGCTTGACGTAGATCTGTCGGATTTTCAAATCCTTGCGTTTCCCCATCTATTTTCTATCAGAAGTCCATGCAGGAGCTAGGTGTAGCAGAATTTTCATGTTCAGCATGCATAAAAAACTTAGAGTGACCGATTATAATGAAAAATATTAATAAAAAATGTTTTGAGCATTAATCTGCAGTAAAGCAGCATCAGTCAAGTTCAAGACATTCCTGTTTAGTTGAATTTAGATCAACAAAATCAAACAGAGTTGTAAATATAAATATTAAACAAACGAAAAAATAGCTGTATAGATCATATGTATTACTTTATAGCAATATTTACAAATGCAGAAAAAGGTGAAAGATTGATAAAATAGCACATAATTTCTTTTGAAAACACTTTTAATCATATTTAATTGATCCTATGTTTAGAACATAACTACTGATTTTAATTTCACTACATTTAGATTTCAATGTTAAAAAAAAAAAGACACACCAGTAAATGCAAACTGTGATTCCAGGTTACAATTTACTACAAGCATCACAGTGGCAAAGTAATCTCAGGCTTTAAATGTTAACAAGGTGGGATCTACTGGGACTCCATGATGTGAAACTAATTACATGATGAGACATGACGTCCACTGAGAATGGCACAGTTCAGAAGGTTCAATCTAGAGGAAGTCACATTTATGATGGAAGATGGGAATATCCTGGTGCACCATTTCTTGGAACTAAAAGTTACCCACTCACAGCTGAGCAGGCAGCAGCCTGGAGAAGCTTCTGCTGTGTTGTAAAGTTGCTAATGCTAATGGTTAGCTTAAACTAGTCTAGACATCCACTGCTGTTTCCCGCACGTTAAACCAACAACAGCCTTCCCCGTTGTGAGTCAAGATGGGTGAGTCCATGAATGTTAAGTGACAGTGTCATATATGTATCTCAGTCTTCAAATCCTAGAGTTTCACTGTTTGTTTTCAGAATGTGTTCAGAAGCTAATGCTATTTTCATGTTCAGCCTGCATGCAAAACTCAGAGTGACTGATTATAATCAGAAAAAACACAAAGCGGCCAACTCTCACACATTGAGAGAGAGGCATGTATTTGACCCTCTTCACACGCCATACATCCAATACCTCACACTGAAGACACCCCCACACCCTGCTGTCTTTGAAAAGTCAACATTAAACATGGGGTTTCATGATATAATACCTTAAAGTGGTAGCCTGGCAAGCCAGACTAAATAAATGTATTATTTAGTCTGGCCATGCTCCACTGACAGCTCTCGGTTGTGGGGCGGGTTCTACCGTTGTCTTTCAAATGATCTCCACATTCCACTGGACAATGAATGTGACATACTCTTGTTTCACTCTGTTGCATCATCCCACCCACCAGGCATATAGAGTGCCCTGATTGGCCCACAAAGCGGATAAAGCTCTGTGATTTGTTCACTAAGCAGATAGAGCACTATGATTGGCCCTTCATTATGGACCATTCACAGCTCTTTATGTGTTTGAAACCCCTCTAGAGAGCTGTGATTGGCCAGCCAGAGTCCTGGTAGGAGCTGCTGATGTTCCAATGGAGCATGCCTAGACCATTCTTTGCAAAGCAAGAATTTGGTCTAGTTCACTAGGCTATTAAAGTGGTCCTTTAATCATGCTGTTTTCACGCTAACCTGGACATTTTTGCTTTGAGGTGAAATAAAGATGCTCAATTTTTTGGTATGTTTAATGTTTTATATTCTAATGCAAATTTGGAAAACAAGCTGGCTTAAAACTTTTTTTCATGCCTCTTAACAACAATCTAACACAATATAATTATAAATATATTTTGGAGGTAAAATGTAAAAAAAAAAAATAAAATAAAAAGAGTAAAGTTGTTCTCTCACATTTGTCTGAAAACATCTGCCAATGACACGTTTCAAACCGAAACCAACCATTGGATCATACAGTTGTCGGTCTTGCCAAACCACCGCACGTCCCTGGGTCCTCCACTCATCATGCACTCATGTATTTAGCAACAGAACACCACTGGTGTGAGGTTCTCGGCTCAATTATATCAGATGGAGAAACAGCCGGCTGCTACCGCTTCAAATTTAGGACAGACTACCAGAGTCCCAAAAAGAAAAACAACATTTGACGTCACGGACAACGAAATACATTTGGACCTAGAAAAGGGTGACTGGTGTTTTGCACTGTATTGTTTCCTCTGGCATTGCAGGTTTCCAGTTCTGGCAGAAGCATCTCAGGTAAGATACCCGAGGGGAGGGGTGAGTGTTCCATGAGTGCGTTTGTGATCAGAACCTAGATTATTTGCAGATTTGCTATAACAGCTTTAAATGAGTGGTTTTACAGAGAGAAACTCTGATAACTTGAACCAATGAAGCACTTGATTGAGATTAGACTAGATGGATTATTAGGTTTACAGACAAATAAATTATATCTGAAAATAAATCTTTTTTTTTTTATTTTCAAACAAATCTCTTGAGTAGGTTATGTTTGTTTTGCATCAGTTAGCTGTGAGAAAAAAAACCTTAGTCCTCTTCAAGGATCAGAAATCAGGTTGCTTTGGGGATCAAAACACCTTCCAAAACATATCATAAAAATAAAATCAGTCGTTTCACAAAATCAGCTGCAAAGAAAAGAGCTCTAAAGACAGACTATGGGAGGGGCCCAGAGGAAAGCATCCTGGAGGTCTGCTATCCTGCAGGTTTTTGTTGTTTCCTTGCTGCAGCACATATGATTTAACCAGTAGGCGATAAACAGGCTTCTGCAGAGCTTGATCCATGTGTGCTGGTGCAGTTAAACAACTAAACTGTGGGCCAGCAGAGCTCCAGGACTGAAAGGATGTCACATTACTAACCAGTACATCCTGTCTAACATGCTGCTCTGTGATTATAACACACCACAGTTTATTCCAGCAGCAAACAATTAGAGTTTAAACCATACCAACATAAAATTGAGAAGTTCTCAGCAGATGATGTGAATACTCTATGGCATCTCCTCTCTCTGCTTCGTCACACTAACGAAACTAAATAGGAACATGCTGAGTCACGACTGCCTTCTGCTCTACCTGCACAGTGAGGGCCATGTTTGGCTGAGCTGGTTCTTAATGAAATCATAAAGAGGGAAGACTTATCTTTGGTTCTTGTGTGCTCCTAAATCTTGCAGGTGAATGCCAGCTTTGGTCCAACCTACAGCTCGTTTGTCAACGTGTACCACAACAGCAAAGAGACCAAATTAAATCAGTAAAACTCTGATGTGATGTAGAAACCAGTCCAGACAGCGCTGTCCTTCTGTGTCTGAGGAGATGAAGGTGTTTGTGACCTTGGGTGTGGGTTTCTGGGCCTGACTGTGTACCAGGTGGCGCCAGCAGTAGTTCATCCACTCACTGTTGGCGCCGCCTGTCTGATCATATGGCTGTCTTGCCAGCTGTCATCATAATCTGTCAGACAGGCCTGTAACTCACCATGAGCCAAACCCAACTAATGTGTTTGTTTACATAATGGAGAAGGAACAGCTCATTGTGGAAAAGCAAGATTATCTCACTTCTCTTCGTTCATCCATTCGTTAAAAGAGACATTTATAATCTTACAGATTAAATCAAGATAACGTTTTATTCTGTCAATTTGAGGTCATGTCTGTCTGCAGGCATCGTGACTTTCTTTGTCTTTACTTTTAACACCAAATATCTCATTAAATCAACAAGATGCCAGTGAGTGTGCATTTAGAAGAGCCACAACGCCGTCTCATAAACAAAGACAGTGGTGTTTCAATACTTTGACACTATTGTCTATTATCTGCGCTGCAGCCTCGCCCACTTTCATATGAAATTAGGTGGTGCAAACAGACAACATAAAAAGCAGCTTCTCTTCAAATAAATGTATAATAGAAAAGCTTGTTTTATTGGACTCTTCTACTTTAATACAGGGAGTGGAGCACACAACAATTTTGCCTGCCATTTACAATCCCCCATTAATGCTGCTGGAGCGGAGCAATTTAGGGTTGATGATCAAACCTGGAAAGATCTTTTCTGCTTTCCATCTCCTGGAACACCTTAAATGGTTTTAACCTTTTCATTTAATGTGTGTTGTAATGACTGAACATGGCAGTAGAGTTTGGCGGAGGATTGTCATGGACTGTCTAGCATAATCTGTAATCTATGAGGTAAAGCAACAGATTGGGTTCTCTTCACCTATAAAAAGAAAATATTTTCCAATTGAGCAATTGTTGACCTTCGGCAACATGACAAGCATATAAAAGCACGAACTACCTGGGAAACGGGTATAACAATAAAGGAGCCTCCGCCAGCACTTTCTGTGACGACAGCCAGGAACTTGGAGTTGACGGCGCAGAAGTGGTTGTCATGGACATTCTTGGTGATAGGGATGCCGTCGAAGCAGTGCTCCCTGTTGGCTACTTTCCCATAAACGTTTCGAAACTTGGAGCTTCGGTAGGTTGGACGCCATGACATCTAAGGGGGATAAAACAGGTCAGGTTGATATGACTAAAAACACTTTCTCTACTCTGCTGTGAAAAAATAATCATCCCATTGCTGCTATTTCTTTCTTTGTAAAACATAAATGTTTCAAATCTACAATCACATTTCAGGATGAAAGATAATTTGCATATGTTTTAAATGATGATTTTGTTCAATGAGGAGAAAAAGTGATCCAAACCAACCTGGCTTTGTGTAAAAATGGTAATCCTGACCTAATTTTGATTAAAAATAATGTTTGGAAAGATCTGATTTCCTAGCCTGGCCTGCCAGACTCCTCCTCTGTTTAATTCTGCACAGAGAGAGGGTCTTGGAACTCCCCTATTCAAATAACCCCACCCCCTGAGAATTCTAACCGAGCCAATCAGCGCTGAGTAGCGAACGTCACACACCACATCGCCAAGTTTGTCATAAACATGGCGACTGAAGCGGAGTTCGCTGCGGCTCTTTCCTTTGCTCTAAATGACTTGGACACGTCTTTAAAACCACAACAAGTAGAAGTGCTAAAAGCCTTTCTTCTAAACAAAAAAGATGTTTGCGCTGTCGCCAGATGCTATTTTTGACTACAGCTAAAAATACTACAGCGTCGCGGGGTACAGTCGGCATTTCCGTCTTTTTTCTGATTGGTTATTTTTGAGCTGCCTAGTCCCGCCCCTCATGTGCCTCTCTGCCTGTGAGTAACCAGACTCTCTCTGTGCAGAATTAAACGGAGGGCGAGTCTGGCAGGCCAGGCTGCTGATTTCCTCCTGTAGAATTAAGGATTCACTTCAACAGAACTCGTTTGATGACATGAGGTAGGATCCCAGCAAAACATCATGCCCCTGTCAATGGAAACTCAAAAACAAAACTTAGAACAACACCCAAAGCACTGCAGGCCAACCTAGTTAGGCTCAAGTGGAGGTCAGAGGCCAAAATGGCCTGAATGGTAATGTTCCAAAGACAAAACCTTGTTTTGAGGTTAGCCAAAAACATCAAGACTTTTGAGGGAATGCTCTGTGTACTAATGAGACAAAAGTGGAACTTTTTGGAAAGTGTGACCTTCTAACCCTAACCCTAACAACAGTTTCAGAATCAGCACAGCAACAGTTAAACATGGTGGCCATAGTGTGATGGTCTGGGGCTGCTTTGTTGCTTCAGCACCTGAACAACTTGATGGAACCATTCTGCCTTCTACCAGCAAATGAGTACATCTGATCCTTGACCTTAATTAGGCAGTTCCTGCTTGAAAAATCCTCCAACGTGACTTTAAAGATTTCTATTGTGACAAGTGGGTATACCTCCACTGTGGTGTGAGACCCCTCATCGGTTACCACAAACACTTAAGTGTAGTTGTTGTAAAGGGTCATACAAGCTATTATTAGGTTTAGCAGTTAATAACCTTCTTAGGTAACTTTGTTCCTTTAATATTATCCTGTTAAAAGGGAGTTTTCCTCTCCACTGTCGCTAAATGCTTGCTTAGTATGAGGATTGCATCAAGTCACTGACACTAGTCAGAGACTTGATGCAATTAGCTGGGTTTCTTTTATAGGAAACTTTTTTCTGGTTGGTTTAATTACTGACCTGAATTGGAATGTTTACTGTGTGAAGTGCCTTGAGACGACTCTTGTCGTGATTTGGCGTTATATATATATATTAAAAAATTATATATATATTAATAAATAAATAAAGAACACCAGGATATTTTTGTCTATTGGAATCTTTAATCATCTGAAATATTTCAGTGTCACAAAAAAGCCAAAACACGATAAACTGCTGTAAGAGGGTCATAAATCCTCTAAAGAGCAAAACTATTTCCATTTCCTCTTCTGCTCTGAACAGTATGGACTTGTGATTAGGAGGTAATCAGTCAGAAGTTGCGTTCACATCCTCCAGACCCCCTCCACAGGGTGGGCTGTCCCATCTGTGCACACATGATAGCGGTCACACATGTAGTGGCTGGAATTCCTCCAAACCCAGGAAGGGTGTGAGACTTTTAAAGGGTGAAAATTGTTTTGAGACTATTTTAGGTAGCCTTGGAGAGTTTGTGGTATGAGGATGGAAAACCAATAAAGCAGACAGTTTACTTAAACGACTAAATCATGTATAAAAAGAATAACTGCTGAAAACTGTCTGTTTAATGAGCTGTTATTGTTATTTGTCATGTTGGATCACATAAAACAAGAGCAGACGCAGTTGGCTGCAGTAGGACCAACATGACAGAGGGTTGCGTTTGACTCAGGAGTCATTTTGATGGTGAAGCTCCTGATTTCTGGTGCCAGCTAGCTTGGCTACAGTTGGCATGGATTTGCTTCTCTAGTCCAAAAACTGAGGGAACATCTCACCAAAGTATGCGTCACATTTTGAGAAGATTTCTGAGACAGGACGTACTCATGAGTTTATTGTCAGTGACATTATTTTAGTGTGACAGGAAGTGTTGGGGGAAGATTTGTTCTTGCTGTCAGATCAGTGGCAGTGCCACCGGATGACATCAGACAATCCTCTATTCAGCATTGTTCTACAGATGAGGATGTTAGCTGCTGCTGCTGCTGCTGCTAGTGGGAGTGGTGCATGTATGCAAATGGAAACATCCTCTGACCATGCTGCTGTTGTCTCAAATCAGACTGCAGAAGAGGAATCCAGCAGAAGCTAATCAAGAGTCACTGCTAAATTCTTACAAATGACATCAAATAATAAAATGACTCTCAAATGATAATCATCAAATGTAATTCTAGTATCAGATTCAATGTAAAAACACTTTTCACTAATCTTTTCATGCAGCTTTTATAACAATGGTTTTCTGCTGATGTATTTCCAGTAAGCGACTCCGAAACATCCCGACTCTATCCAGAAATCATCTGCTCTGAAGCCGGGTCTGTATGAGCAGCATAATGGCAGCTTGTTAAAGAATTAATGAAGAACAGAAGAGCAGCAGAAAGAGGCCTGGGGGACAGTCAGAGGGGACAGACAGAGGAAACTCCCTGGCTTTGAGTCCTTCTTTACAAGGATGCTCATTCATCTGTCACACCAGTTTCCGGCACAGAGAACAGTTCTGTCTGAGTGTCTTCTCCATCTCACAAGGGTTTGCAACCCAAAAACACTCCAGCAGCATGCAACACACAAAAGTACAGACAGGTTGACTCTGCATCCACCTCCTCACAAGACTCCCGGGTTGTGATCATATTAAACTGCCTGAGGCCCTTAAAATTTTGGAGACACTTAAAAATGGATTTCACACCAACCTGGATTCATATGAAAGCCCCTTTCAAGCATCTGACTTCAGATATCTCAAACAGCACTCTACATCTACTCAGACTTTATTCCTACCTTAAGTTGACACTCCAGCCTCCTCACAATGCAAACATCCACCCTCCTTTCTAAATGAGCTGCTGAGACCTCCTCTCCTTCTCTCTTCCCCTACAAATGTACACATTCTGTGTCTGCCTCCTTCTCTCATGTTTTTCACTTCCCACCCTCTTCTCCTCCCACTAGAACAGATAGCTGCAGGGTACCCCCAACCCCTCCCTTCCTGTTCTTCCTCCTACCCCTCTCTCCCATCCTGCCACTCAGTCAGGCCTCCACATCTCTTTCTGTCTCTACTGCTGCTCAGTCTCCAGCTCCAGCAGAGAAGCAGCACTGTAGTAGCCATTCATCCTCCTTCCTGTCCCACCCACAGCTTGTTGGGAATCACAAGGCCTTTCTAGCTCATTTTCATGACCACTATGAGTTTTTCAGACCTTCTCTTTTTGTAAACCTAATCTGTACTACACCCTTCAGTCCCATCATTTGCTTTCTCTGGTCTAAACCCCACCTATTTGTTGTGAAGACGTGAACTTTTTTGTGAACCTTGCTGACATCAGCAGGAAAGCCAAAGGCAAGACAGCGTTTTTAGCGGCAGTAGCAAGCAATAAAAATGTCCAGATGTGTGCCTCGAAAAGACTGAAGTGGCTGCAGTGAAAATCTCTCTCACACCTAAAGCAACCTTAACAAACTTTATGTATTTAACTGATATTTAGGTGGGCTGATTCAATAGTTATATATCTAAAATAATTCAAGTTTTACATTTTTATTTCACACTTTCAGCTTTTGCTGAGTGGGAGAATAAGTTATTCCCATATGTGCACAAATCTTGCACCAGTAACATTTAAATAAGGTATTAAATCTACCTGCTGTAAAAGTGTTTAAAGACCAAGTTCACTGGTTTTCTCAACACGTGTGCAGTGGTCTCTAGTACAGGTGAATGGATTTGTTGGGGAAAAAAGTCTGGCGCTCCTGTTTTAGGAACTAGAAATAAGGCACAGCAGAGGTGAGCTGCATATGACAGGAGCCGTATTTCCTGATATTTAATGTCTTGTCTCTGATTGGACAACAGCAATGCAACTCTACCACTGACTATGTGTTTTGCAGCGTTTATGTTTTATCTCCACACACACCACAACCCTAAAGGAGTTCTGCCATGTTGTGATGTTGTTATTGCTAACAGTTAGCTTCTCCTAGTCGAGACGTGTTCTGCTGTTTCCTGAATGCTAAAACAACATCCTTCCCTGCCATGATCGGTGAGTCCATGAAAAACCAAATTTTACCACCTTCCCCACAAACAAGCTCCTGGCATACACTCCCGTTAGGCTGAGATACTGGCGCAGGTGTTGTGGTGAAAATTGCATCCCTTGATGATTCTTTTGGTGTTTGAAATGGGCGTGAAGCCCTTCAGGTTTACTGCCTGCCATCCATGCCATCATCCATGTTCTTATGATGCTATTTATATTTACCGTGGTTATTTTGTCCTGCGGCACAGGTTTATTGACATGTTTACATGTTGCCTGAGGTCCCTGCTGCTGCTCTTTATACATCACTGTTCTTGTCTCTCAGAACGTATCAAACAACGTTCTCCTTTTTACAAAGTAGCAACCCTGTTTTTGGTAGAAGGATGGCTATTAAAATGTGGCCAACTAATTCAAGCAGATTTATTTTAACATGTTCAAATGTTAATAATGTACAATCGCTTAGGAGATGGGGACTAAAATTTTGTCTCTTGAAGACTTGAGAACTGACTTGGAATTGTCACTCAATGACTTGAAGACCAACTTCACTCAGTTTTCCAACACATTCGCAGTGGTCTCTAGTATAAATAAATGTCTTATGAGTCCGTCTCTGTGGGAAAGAACCTCTGGTGCTCATGTTTCAGGAACTAGAAGTGAGGCAAAGGAGAGGTAAGCAGCAGACGGCAGCATTTGGAATTTATTCCTTGATATTTGGACACCTTGCTTCTGATTGGCTAACAGCAACGGACTGTACCACTAAATAACTCCTTGTTGTGGAGTTGCTAATGCTAACGGTTAGCTTCTACTAGTCGAGAAATGCTCTGCTCTCTCCTGGATGCTAAATCAATAACAGCCCTCCTTGTTGTGAGCCAAGATGGATGTGTCTATGAATGCTAATTTTGAGTTTGATGTTGATTTGACAGGATTTCCTAATCTGAGCATTTCCTCATCTGTTTTCTATCAGAAGCTAATGCAGGAAATAGAGGTAGAAGACTATATGCATCTTTAGCCTTCTTGCAAAACTCCTACTAAAATCTGGTTTCTCAGTGACTTTGATCTTTTAACCTTGACATGGAATTGGAAGGAAACATCTCAGAAAAAAATGAAAATCTATCTATCATTTACAAATGACACAAAGATCTCTTTTGAGAAGTGGTGCAACAGTTTTTTCCAGTAATGCAGTATAATCAGTAGACTGTAATTTCCTCCCATCCTGCAGCCAAGCATGTCCTTTATTCTCAAACTACAGCCAGTCAATGGTGCCATGCTGACTCATTCTCAAAAAGACTCAAAAAGACTGTTGAAACAGGACCAAATCAAATAAAGGGCTTACATTATTCCAATCAAAAATTTCTTAACATTGGTGCCAGAGAAGGAAGTGCCACCATCTGCGCTCACGCTGAACACACACAAAAGGGAAATCCGCAGGGTGACTTCACGTCTTGTCACTCAAGTACAGAGAAAATCTGTCATCATGTCACGTTGTGTCCTTTGTTCTTCTATTCTGGTACTAATGTTTTAAAGTAATTTCAGTGAGTTCCCATCTTTGCAAGGAGTCATCTCAGAAAAGCAAAAACATTTCTGAATGGTTTCACTGGCCAGCTTTTCTTTCAAGGTGGAGAGGACTTTCTATTTCTGACTCAAACAGGAAGTATCACTGATGAACATGCTACAGTATCCTACTGTGCTATCTCAAAACCAAGACTATAAGAGTAAAACAGCTGGAAATGACTTTACCAAATGAAGGGTTTGCATAGCAAAATAAGTGGTAAGATAATAAAAATAACATCAAAATAGCCTCCACCTCAAACATTTGTGTAATTTAGCAGGGGAAATTTATAAAGATGTAAGAACACACTTTTTAGGAAATAAATGTGGCACCTTAAGCGGGTTGAACACTGGTGGTCTCCAGTAGAAAGAATGCCTTGTAAGTCATACTCGGGGGTAAAAAAGCCCAGAAGCGCCTGCATCAGCACAGAGAAGTCAGCTGGAGGAGAGAGTGGAAGAACACGACAGGATTTAGAGTCTTGGACATCTCTCCTCTGATTGGATAACAGCAACCCAACTCTACCACTGACTCCATTTACTTTGTAACATTGATGTTTTATCTCCTCAAATAACACAAGTCTGGAGGAGTTCTGCTGTGTTGTAGAGTTTCTGATGCTAATGGTTAACTTCTATTAGCCAAGATGCTCTCTGCTGTTTCTTGGGTGCCAAACCAAAAACAGTCAACCCCGTCACAAGTCCAGAAGGGTGAGTCCATGACTTAAGTGACAGTGTGATGTAGATCTGCCAGGAATTTCTAAACCTAGAGTTTCAATGTGTATTTTCTATCAGAAGCTAATGCGGGAGACAGGTGTAGGAGACTATTTTCATGTTCAGTCTGCATGAAAAACTCATGACCGAATATAATCAAGTCAAGTCAAGGTTTATTTCCATGGCACATTTAAATGGCAACAGCTGTTACCCCAAAGTGCTGCGCATAGGTGGTAAGGATAAAAGCTTTTAAAATGATAAAAAAAAGCTGAAAAAAATGTATATACATGAAACAAGTTATAAAAGAATAAAACAACAAAAAAGATCACAAAAAATGTTAAGAGAATAGGAGAAGCCTGCGGCCTGTTGGTTATCACTGAAATGCCAAAGCAAACAAATGCATTTTTAGACATACAGGTGCTGGCCAGTAAATTAGAATATCATCAAAAGGTTGAAAATATTTCAGTAATTCCATTCAAAACGTGAAACTTGTACATTATATTCATGCAATGCACACAGACCAATGTATTTCCAATGTTCATTACATTTAAATTTGATATTCATAAGTGACAACTAATGAAAACTCCAAATTTGGTATCTCAAAAAATTAGAATATTCTGAAAAGGCTGAATATAGAAGACACCTGCTGCCACTCTAATCAGCTGATTTACTCAAAACACCTGCAAAGGCCTTTAAAAGGTCCCTCAGTCTTGTTTTGAAGGCACCACAATCATGGGGAAGACTTCTGACTTAACAGCTGTCCAAAAGACAATCATTGACACCTTGCACAAGGAGGGCAAGACACAAAAGGTGATTGCTAAAGAAGCTGGCTGTTCGCAGAGCTCTGTGTCCAAGCACATTAACAGACAGGCGAAGGGACGGAAAAAATGTGGTAGAAAAAAGTGTACAAGCTCTAGGGATAACCGCACCCTGCAGAGAATTGTGATGACAAACCCATTCAAAAATGTGGGGGAGATCCACAAAGAGTGGACTGCAGCTGGAGTCAGCGCTTCAAGAACCACCACGAGGAGACTCATGAAAGACATGGGATTCAGGTGTCGCATTCCGTGTGTCAAGCCACTCTTGAACAAGAAACAGCGCAAGAAGCGTCTCGCCTGGGCCAAGGACAAAAAGGACTGGACTGATGCTGAGTGGTCCAAAGTTATGTTTTCTGATGAAAGCAAGTTCTGCATTTCCTTTGGAAATCAAGGACCCAGAGTCTGGAGGAAGAGCGGAGAAGCACAGAATCCACGTTGCATGAGGTCCAGTGTAAAGTTTCCACCGTCAGTGATGGTGTGGGGTGCCATGTCATCTGCCGGTGTTGGCCCACTCTGTTTCCTGAGGTCCAGGGTCAATGCAGCCGTCTACCAGGAAGTTTTAGAGCACTTCATGCTTCCTGCTGCTGACCAACTTTATGGGGATGCAGACTTCACCTTTCAACAGGACTTGGCACCTGCACACAGTGCCAAAACCACCAGCACCTGGTTCAAGGACCATGGTATCCCTGTCCTTGATTGGCCAGCAAACTCGCCTGACCTTAACCCCATAGAAAATCTATGGGGTGTTGTGAAGCGGAGGATGCAATACGCTAGACCCAACAATGCAGAGGAGCTGAAGACGACTATCAGAGCAACCTGGGCTCTCATAACACCTGAGCAGTGCCACAGACTGATCGAGTCCATGCCACGCCGCATTACTGCAGTTATTGAGGCAAAAGGAGCCCCGACTAAGTATTGAGTGCTATACATGCACATTCTTTTCATGTTCATTCTTTTCAGTTGGCCAACATTAGAGAAACAAACATTTTTTCATTGGCCTTTAGAATATTCTAATTTTCTGAGATACCAGATTTGATGTTTTCATTGGTTGTCACCTATAAATATCAAAATTAAACGTAATGAACATTGGAAATACATTGGTCTGTGTGCATTGCATGAATATAATGTACAAGTTTCACGTTTTGAATGGAATTACTGAAATATTTTCAACCTTTTGATGATATTCTAATTTACTGGCCAGCACCTGTACTTTGAAAGAGGCCATGGTATCAGCTGCCTTAACCTCAAGGGGAAGCTGTTCCACAGCACAGGGGCATCACAGAGAAAGCTCTAGCACCCTTGGTTTTTAACCGTGAGCTGTGTTGCTAGCAGATGGAGGTCAGCTGATGTCAGCGTGCTAGACGGGACATGGGACTGAATAAAATTGCACAGATATGGAGGAGCCAGCCCACGCAGACAGTTAAAAACCAGAAGCATTATTTTAAAGAGGGACTGCACACCAACAGAAAACATAACTCCCCCCCTAGTCAGGATTAAAAAAAATGCTATGAAAGTGGGCGTTGCCAGAAGACATGGAGTGGCATGGCGAAGTGTGGGGAATTTCCATCCCAGAAAGAAGGGGGAGAGGGAGGAAACTGTACTGATGACACAAAATTGAACTAGACCCAGTCAATCACATATTTAAAATGCAGTAGCCAAAGTTTAACCTACAGGGGGCAGCACTAAATTTTTTAGACCTGGATTCAAGGTTTAGGTAAACAAGTTTACACAAACATGTAAAAAAAATGCACAGAAACTGAACAATTGCATTTGTAAAGACCCAATTATTCAGATTTTATGCAAAAATAAGTTATTTTGGGATTTAGAAACTCTTTCTAATAAATACTGAACTTAAAGGCATTAACGTGGCAGTTTTGGCTTACTTTTAGCACTCTCTAGAGTTTGTTTAGAAGCAACAAAGTGAAACTCTCCTCACTGTGCGTTTGTCTTTTAAACAGCTCATCCAACAGCTGAACTGTCTCCTCAGCATTCATTAGTGTCTACAGGCGTGATTCATCACTAAATTAAACACATTAGTTGTGTTCATGATCTAAAACATACCGAAAACATTTTTAATTCACTTGGTTATTTGGGATTAATACGCACAAAACCAAATAGAGTTTCATTTTAGTTCAAGGAAAAAATCTATTAATAAAATGAAATATAAATATAGGATCTGTTTAATCAGAATCAGCTTTATTGTCAGTGCTCCGGCGTCCCGAAGCACAGAAATTTGACTCGCAGTACAGCCTGACCAAGGTTACACACACAAAACATGTAGAACAAAAACAGATACAGGCACACCACGAGAGCTGCCATTTGAGGCATTTCATCACAACCATCATTTATTATATGATACTTAGAACATGGAGAATTATTTCACAGAAAGACACATTATGAAAGTTTTGGCAAATAGTTTTGCTGCCTCATCCATCTGAAGAATAAAAGTAGCTTAAGTCAGCAGAACTAACAGGAAACTATAGTAAAAAATATATGAGCAGGCAGTAAAAGAGTGGTAGGAGTCATTGTAAAGTGAGAGAGCAGACTACAAGCACCTGCAGACTGAAATGAACACCGTCTGACTCAAAACCAGTATTTTCCTAAAGTCTATAACCAGAGAACATGGCTTGAACATGAAAACAAAATGTTTAACATTTAGCAAAAGGAAGCAAAAAATAAATTTGGGTTAAAAACCAATTTTGGATAGCTGGTTCAGGAATGTTGGGAAGGAAATTGTCATGTTCTGTGTCCCTTTGTCCCCAGCCCCTCCAGTTCGCACTCCAGGTTCTCCTTTTGTATCTCATAGCACCCTCATGTGTCCGTTGTCTGCGTCTCATTATGTGTCTCTTTGAGTTCTTCATGTGTCTTCTGTTGTGGCCCTTTAGATCATTCCTCACAGGTCCTGTGTTCAGTCATCCCCAGCTCCTCCAGGTGTTCCTTCACGTTCTGTATCCTTGTAGCTCCAGCCTTTTCTGTCCCCAGCTCGGTGTGTGTGTGTGCGCGTGTCCTCCCCCAGCTCGGTGTGCGCGCGTGTGTGTGTGTGTGTCCTTCCCCAGCTCGGTGTGCGCGCGCGTGTGTGTGTGTCCTTCCCCAGCTCGGTGTGTGTGTGTGTGTGTGTGTGTGTTCGTGTCCTTCCCCAGCTCGGTGTGTGTGTGTGTGTGTGTGTGTCCTTCCCAGTCAGGTCTGGTGTCCCCCTCTGCTCCTCTCCTCATTATTGCTTTCACCTGTGCCAGTTCCCCACACACCTGCTCCTCGTCTCCTATCACTCCAGCCCCAGTGTATAAAGCCCTCTCCTTGTCTCATTGTTCTTGTCGGTCCATTGTTGCTGTCAGTGTGACTTATTCTGTCAGTCCTGCTTGTTCCTTTAGTGTTTTTTAGATCTCCTGATCATCCCCTGGATTTTTGGACTTTGGCTTCCTGCCCTTTGGATTTATGTTCTCTTTGGAATCATCCTACCAATAAAAGGATTTTTCTTTACATTTACTCCTGCCTCGTGTCATCCTGGGTCTGCATTTTGGGTCCTAATCATCCTACAAAACGTGACGGTAATGAATCCTACGAAAGAGCTGCTTGATGCCCCCTCAACAATATTTGCCTGATTTATAAATTTGTAAAATCAATTTGTTAACATCAAAAGAACAATAAACACAGCAGGTCATAATATTTAGGCTCACTGATGATGATAATAGATGCATGAAGCTCAGCTGAGAGCAGCTCTTTGGACTGATAACAGCAGCTGTAAGAAGCACTAGCTAAGCACAGGAAGCCGGCTGAAGGGCACTTAAAGTCGTTACGGAAGAGTGGGTGTTCTGGAATCCATCCATCTACTGCTGCAACCACAGCAACACTGTAATACAACATATTATCTAGATGAGGATGATAATGCAAACCTTTGTTCCATTCCAACTCAGAT